ATAAATGGCTTTATTTTATGTGTCAAATAAGTTTAAGCAATCAAAAAAATTTTTTTATATATATTTGTATATTATATTCAATTAAATGATAATATTGTAGTATATTAATTACTACTATTATTACCATCTATTCATTTATATATTATAAATATCAATTGTTCTATAGATTTTATAAGACTAATAACTGAAAAATGTAGTGTATCAAAGATATTAAATAAATTAGAGTTAAGTTTCATTGTTTTTGGACTAAATTTTCAGATTAAATTAATTTTTTATTTTTTACAAATTTGTTCATAAATCAGTCAGTCAGTCATAAGAAAATAGAAATATAACCAGGAAATATTAAACTATTCTAAATCAATATCCAGTAACTATTCACTTACAATCATTTTTTAAAATTTATAATCAATCACTGAACAAAATTATGATGCCATCAATATTGGATTTCTGGGACTGCAGAACAGAAGAAACATTCAAGTAAGCCATCATTGGAACTATAATCATATTATATCATCATTTATAATATTGATATAAAGAGAAAAGAATGCAATACAATTTCTTATTGTATTATTGGTTTTCATGCAATTGGTTCTATAATATTGGCAAGTTTTTTAAGATTGTTACAGTAATGTTATGAAATTACAAACCAATTATTTCTATAATAAAAATATGAAAAATGTAAAGAACCACAGACAGTGCATAATAATAATTTCATTAAATAACAACATTCAAAGCCCAAATAGTATATCTACTAAACTGCTGAACGATTGCCTAATAATTTCATTACACAAAAATTAATCCAGTTGCTATTAAATGGAAGCAATATCCACTGGTAATCAATATAAAAAGCATAATTTAATATTTATTTATTAATTTTTGGTAATAAATATAATTAGTGACACCTGCAGATCAAAAAAGGGAGGGAGTCACAAACTATAAAAAAAAAGAACATCATACATTATATAAGAAGCTTCAAACTGTAAGTCAATATCAGATCGGTACTCCCACTAGGTAGCACTGGTTGCAATTGGGACTAACTTGGCTTTGAAAACAAGGAACATTCCTTGTTTTCAATGTGAAGTGTTGGTCAACATACAACTAAGTTGAATGGGACAATGAAAAATATCGTTCATTAGTTTCTTTTATATTTGTGGAATAGGCTAGAAGTCATGAATTTTCTGTTGTTGATAATGGAATTTGTAGCACCCTTGGGATTAGGAAAAGGGACACATGCCCCAAATGCCACAATATATGGGCATCCCTGAATATGACCATCTAAAGATAATACCAGAGCTGTGGAGTCGATAAAAAAAACACTCAACTCTGATATGACTCCAACTCCTGATAATTTTAGTAGGCTGACTCCAACAAAATTAAATACCAAGTCATTTTATGAGGGCGGAAGTGCTCGTAGGGGGATACCCTACTCTGAACTCTGAAAGAAGCCCAAGGAGTTTACCCAAATACTTTTATAGTTAGTATTTTTAATATTTAACTTACATTAATATTTATTTGTATAAAAGTATTTGGG